GGGGGGGGGGGGGGGGGGGGGGGGGGGGGGGGGGGGGGGGGGGGGGGGGGGGGGGGGGGGGGGGGGGGGGGGGGGGGGGGGGGGGGGGGGGGGGGGGGGGGGGGGGGGGGGGGGGGGGGGGGGGGGGGGGGGGGGGGGGGGGGGGGGGGGGGGGGGGGGGGGGGGGGGGGGGGGGGGGGGGGGGGGGGGGGGGGGGGGGGGGGGGGGGGGGGGGGGGGGGGGGGGGGGGGGGGGGGGGGGGGGGGGGGGGGGGGGGGGGGGGGGGGGGGGGGGGGGGGGGGGGGGGGGGGGGGGGGGGGGGGGGGGGGGGGGGGGGGGGGGGGGGGGGGGGGGGGGGGGGGGGGGGGGGGGGGGGGGGGGGGGGGGGGGGGGGGGGGGGGGGGGGGGGGGGGGGGGGGGGGGGGGGGGGGGGGGGGGGGGGGGGGGGGGGGGGGGGGGGGGGGGGGGGGGGGGGGGGGGGGGGGGGGGGGGGGGGGGGGGGGGGGGGGGGGGGGGGGGGGGGGGGGGGGGGGGGGGGGGGGGGGGGGGGGGGGGGGGGGGGGGGGGGGGGGGGGGGGGGGGGGGGGGGGGGGGGGGGGGGGGGGGGGGGGGGGGGGGGGGGGGGGGGGGGGGGGGGGGGGGGGGGGGGGGGGGGGGGGGGGGGGGGGGGGGGGGGGGGGGGGGGGGGGGGGGGGGGGGGGGGGGGGGGGGGGGGGGGGGGGGGGGGGGGGGGGGGGGGGGGGGGGGGGGGGGGGGGGGGGGGGGGGGGGGGGGGGGGGGGGGGGGGGGGGGGGGGGGGGGGGGGGGGGGGGGGGGGGGGGGGGGGGGGGGGGGGGGGGGGGGGGGGGGGGGGGGGGGGGGGGGGGGGGGGGGGGGGGGGGGGGGGGGGGGGGGGGGGGGGGGGGGGGGGGGGGGGGGGGGGGGGGGGGGGGGGGGGGGGGGGGGGGGGGGGGGGGGGGGGGGGGGGGGGGGGGGGGGGGGGGGGGGGGGGGGGGGGGGGGGGGGGGGGGGGGGGGGGGGGGGGGGGGGGGGGGGGGGGGGGGGGGGGGGGGGGGGGGGGGGGGGGGGGGGGGGGGGGGGGGGGGGGGGGGGGGGGGGGGGGGGGGGGGGGGGGGGGGGGGGGGGGGGGGGGGGGGGGGGGGGGGGGGGGGGGGGGGGGGGGGGGGGGTGGGGGGGGGGGGGGGGGGGGGGGGGGGGGGGGGGGGGGGGGGGGGGGGGGGGGGGGGGGGGGGGGGGGGGGGGGGGGGGGGGGGGGGGGGGGGGGGGGGGGGGGGGGGGGGGGGGGGGGGGGGGGGGGGGGGGGGGGGGGGGGGGGGGGGGGGGGGGGGGGGGGGGGGGGGGGGGGGGGGGGGGGGGGGGGGGGGGGGGGGGGGGGGGGGGGGGGGGGGGGGGGGGGGGGGGGGGGGGGGGGGGGGGGGGGGGGGGGGGGGGGGGGGGGGGGGGGGGGGGGGGGGGGGGGGGGGGGGGGGGGGGGGGGGGGGGGGGGGGGGGGGGGGGGGGGGGGGGGGGGGGGGGGGGGGGGGGGGGGGGGGGGGGGGGGGGGGGGGGGGGGGGGGGGGGGGGGGGGGGGGGGGGGGGGGGGGGGGGGGGGGGGGGGGGGGGGGGGGGGGGGGGGGGGGGGGGGGGGGGGGGGGGGGGGGGGGGGGGGGGGGGGGGGGGGGGGGGGGGGGGGGGGGGGGGGGGGGGGGGGGGGGGGGGGGGGGGGGGGGGGGGGGGGGGGGGGGGGGGGGGGGGGGGGGGGGGGGGGGGGGGGGGGGGGGGGGGGGGGGGGGGGGGGGGGGGGGGGGGGGGGGGGGGGGGGGGGGGGGGGGGGGGGGGGGGGGGGGGGGGGGGGGGGGGGGGGGGGGGGGGGGGGGGGGGGGGGGGGGGGGGGGGGGGGGGGGGGGGGGGGGGGGGGGGGGGGGGGGGGGGGGGGGGGGGGGGGGGGGGGGGGGGGGGGGGGGGGGGGGGGGGGGGGGGGGGGGGGGGGGGGGGGGGGGGGGGGGGGGGGGGGGGGGGGGGGGGGGGGGGGGGGGGGGGGGGGGGGGGGGGGGGGGGGGGGGGGGGGGGGGGGGGGGGGGGGGGGGGGGGGGGGGGGGGGGGGGGGGGGGGGGGGGGGGGGGGGGGGGGGGGGGGGGGGGGGGGGGGGGGGGGGGGGGGGGGGGGGGGGGGGGGGGGGGGGGGGGGGGGGGGGGGGGGGGGGGGGGGGGGGGGGGGGGGGGGGGGGGGGGGGGGGGGGGGGGGGGGGGGGGGGGGGGGGGGGGGGGGGGGGGGGGGGGGGGGGGGGGGGGGGGGGGGGGGGGGGGGGGGGGGGGGGGGGGGGGGGGGGGGGGGGGGGGGGGGGGGGGGGGGGGGGGGGGGGGGGGGGGGGGGGGGGGGGGGGGGGGGGGGGGGGGGGGGGGGGGGGGGGGGGGGGGGGGGGGGGGGGGGGGGGGGGGGGGGGGGGGGGGGGGGGGGGGGGGGGGGGGGGGGGGGGGGGGGGGGGGGGGGGGGGGGGGGGGGGGGGGGGGGGGGGGGGGGGGGGGGGGGGGGGGGGGGGGGGGGGGGGGGGGGGGGGGGGGGGGGGGGGGGGGGGGGGGGGGGGGGGGGGGGGGGGGGGGGGGGGGGGGGGGGGGGGGGGGGGGGGGGGGGGGGGGGGGGGGGGGGGGGGGGGGGGGGGGGGGGGGGGGGGGGGGGGGGGGGGGGGGGGGGGGGGGGGGGGGGGGGGGGGGGGGGGGGGGGGGGGGGGGGGGGGGGGGGGGGGGGGGGGGGGGGGGGGGGGGGGGGGGGGGGGGGGGGGGGGGGGGGGGGGGGGGGGGGGGGGGGGGGGGGGGGGGGGGGGGGGGGGGGGGGGGGGGGGGGGGGGGGGGGGGGGGGGGGGGGGGGGGGGGGGGGGGGGGGGGGGGGGGGGGGGGGGGGGGGGGGGGGGGGGGGGGGGGGGGGGGGGGGGGGGGGGGGGGGGGGGGGGGGGGGGGGGGGGGGGGGGGGGGGGGGGGGGGGGGGGGGGGGGGGGGGGGGGGGGGGGGGGGGGGGGGGGGGGGGGGGGGGGGGGGGGGGGGGGGGGGGGGGGGGGGGGGGGGGGGGGGGGGGGGGGGGGGGGGGGGGGGGGGGGGGGGGGGGGGGGGGGGGGGGGGGGGGGGGGGGGGGGGGGGGGGGGGGGGGGGGGGGGGGGGGGGGGGGGGGGGGGGGGGGGGGGGGGGGGGGGGGGGGGGGGGGGGGGGGGGGGGGGGGGGGGGGGGGGGGGGGGGGGGGGGGGGGGGGGGGGGGGGGGGGGGGGGGGGGGGGGGGGGGGGGGGGGGGGGGGGGGGGGGGGGGGGGGGGGGGGGGGGGGGGGGGGGGGGGGGGGGGGGGGGGGGGGGGGGGGGGGGGGGGGGGGGGGGGGGGGGGGGGGGGGGGGGGGGGGGGGGGGGGGGGGGGGGGGGGGGGGGGGGGGGGGGGGGGGGGGGGGGGGGGGGGGGGGGGGGGGGGGGGGGGGGGGGGGGGGGGGGGGGGGGGGGGGGGGGGGGGGGGGGGGGGGGGGGGGGGGGGGGGGGGGGGGGGGGGGGGGGGGGGGGGGGGGGGGGGGGGGGGGGGGGGGGGGGGGGGGGGGGGGGGGGGGGGGGGGGGGGGGGGGGGGGGGGGGGGGGGGGGGGGGGGGGGGGGGGGGGGGGGGGGGGGGGGGGGGGGGGGGGGGGGGGGGGGGGGGGGGGGGGGGGGGGGGGGGGGGGGGGGGGGGGGGGGGGGGGGGGGGGGGGGGGGGGGGGGGGGGGGGGGGGGGGGGGGGGGGGGGGGGGGGGGGGGGGGGGGGGGGGGGGGGGGGGGGGGGGGGGGGGGGGGGGGGGGGGGGGGGGGGGGGGGGGGGGGGGGGGGGGGGGGGGGGGGGGGGGGGGGGGGGGGGGGGGGGGGGGGGGGGGGGGGGGGGGGGGGGGGGGGGGGGGGGGGGGGGGGGGGGGGGGGGGGGGGGGGGGGGGGGGGGGGGGGGGGGGGGGGGGGGGGGGGGGGGGGGGGGGGGGGGGGGGGGGGGGGGGGGGGGGGGGGGGGGGGGGGGGGGGGGGGGGGGGGGGGGGGGGGGGGGGGGGGGGGGGGGGGGGGGGGGGGGGGGGGGGGGGGGGGGGGGGGGGGGGGGGGGGGGGGGGGGGGGGGGGGGGGGGGGGGGGGGGGGGGGGGGGGGGGGGGGGGGGGGGGGGGGGGGGGGGGGGGGGGGGGGGGGGGGGGGGGGGGGGGGGGGGGGGGGGGGGGGGGGGGGGGGGGGGGGGGGGGGGGGGGGGGGGGGGGGGGGGGGGGGGGGGGGGGGGGGGGGGGGGGGGGGGGGGGGGGGGGGGGGGGGGGGGGGGGGGGGGGGGGGGGGGGGGGGGGGGGGGGGGGGGGGGGGGGGGGGGGGGGGGGGGGGGGGGGGGGGGGGGGGGGGGGGGGGGGGGGGGGGGGGGGGGGGGGGGGGGGGGGGGGGGGGGGTGGGGGGGGGGGGGGGGGGGGGGGGGGGGGGGGGGGGGGGGGGGGGGGGGGGGGGGGGGGGGGGGGGGGGGGGGGGGGGGGGGGGGGGGGGGGGGGGGGGGGGGGGGGGGGGGGGGGGGGGGGGGGGGGGGGGGGGGGGGGGGGGGGGGGGGGGGGGGGGGGGGGGGGGGGGGGGGGGGGGGGGGGGGGGGGGGGGGGGGGGGGGGGGGGGGGGGGGGGGGGGGGGGGGGGGGGGGGGGGGGGGGGGGGGGGGGGGGGGGGGGGGGGGGGGGGGGGGGGGGGGGGGGGGGGGGGGGGGGGGGGGGGGGGGGGGGGGGGGGGGGGGGGGGGGGGGGGGGGGGGGGGGGGGGGGGGGGGGGGGGGGGGGGGGGGGGGGGGGGGGGGGGGGGGGGGGGGGGGGGGGGGGGGGGGGGGGGGGGGGGGGGGGGGGGGGGGGGGGGGGGGGGGGGGGGGGGGGGGGGGGGGGGGGGGGGGGGGGGGGGGGGGGGGGGGGGGGGGGGGGGGGGGGGGGGGGGGGGGGGGGGGGGGGGGGGGGGGGGGGGGGGGGGGGGGGGGGGGGGGGGGGGGGGGGGGGGGGGGGGGGGGGGGGGGGGGGGGGGGGGGGGGGGGGGGGGGGGGGGGGGGGGGGGGGGGGGGGGGGGGGGGGGGGGGGGGGGGGGGGGGGGGGGGGGGGGGGGGGGGGGGGGGGGGGGGGGGGGGGGGGGGGGGGGGGGGGGGGGGGGGGGGGGGGGGGGGGGGGGGGGGGGGGGGGGGGGGGGGGGGGGGGGGGGGGGGGGGGGGGGGGGGGGGGGGGGGGGGGGGGGGGGGGGGGGGGGGGGGGGGGGGGGGGGGGGGGGGGGGGGGGGGGGGGGGGGGGGGGGGGGGGGGGGGGGGGGGGGGGGGGGGGGGGGGGGGGGGGGGGGGGGGGGGGGGGGGGGGGGGGGGGGGGGGGGGGGGGGGGGGGGGGGGGGGGGGGGGGGGGGGGGGGGGGGGGGGGGGGGGGGGGGGGGGGGGGGGGGGGGGGGGGGGGGGGGGGGGGGGGGGGGGGGGGGGGGGGGGGGGGGGGGGGGGGGGGGGGGGGGGGGGGGGGGGGGGGGGGGGGGGGGGGGGGGGGGGGGGGGGGGGGGGGGGGGGGGGGGGGGGGGGGGGGGGGGGGGGGGGGGGGGGGGGGGGGGGGGGGGGGGGGGGGGGGGGGGGGGGGGGGGGGGGGGGGGGGGGGGGGGGGGGGGGGGGGGGGGGGGGGGGGGGGGGGGGGGGGGGGGGGGGGGGGGGGGGGGGGGGGGGGGGGGGGGGGGGGGGGGGGGGGGGGGGGGGGGGGGGGGGGGGGGGGGGGGGGGGGGGGGGGGGGGGGGGGGGGGGGGGGGGGGGGGGGGGGGGGGGGGGGGGGGGGGGGGGGGGGGGGGGGGGGGGGGGGGGGGGGGGGGGGGGGGGGGGGGGGGGGGGGGGGGGGGGGGGGGGGGGGGGGGGGGGGGGGGGGGGGGGGGGGGGGGGGGGGGGGGGGGGGGGGGGGGGGGGGGGGGGGGGGGGGGGGGGGGGGGGGGGGGGGGGGGGGGGGGGGGGGGGGGGGGGGGGGGGGGGGGGGGGGGGGGGGGGGGGGGGGGGGGGGGGGGGGGGGGGGGGGGGGGGGGGGGGGGGGGGGGGGGGGGGGGGGGGGGGGGGGGGGGGGGGGGGGGGGGGGGGGGGGGGGGGGGGGGGGGGGGGGGGGGGGGGGGGGGGGGGGGGGGGGGGGGGGGGGGGGGGGGGGGGGGGGGGGGGGGGGGGGGGGGGGGGGGGGGGGGGGGGGGGGGGGGGGGGGGGGGGGGGGGGGGGGGGGGGGGGGGGGGGGGGGGGGGGGGGGGGGGGGGGGGGGGGGGGGGGGGGGGGGGGGGGGGGGGGGGGGGGGGGGGGGGGGGGGGGGGGGGGGGGGGGGGGGGGGGGGGGGGGGGGGGGGGGGGGGGGGGGGGGGGGGGGGGGGGGGGGGGGGGGGGGGGGGGGGGGGGGGGGGGGGGGGGGGGGGGGGGGGGGGGGGGGGGGGGGGGGGGGGGGGGGGGGGGGGGGGGGGGGGGGGGGGGGGGGGGGGGGGGGGGGGGGGGGGGGGGGGGGGGGGGGGGGGGGGGGGGGGGGGGGGGGGGGGGGGGGGGGGGGGGGGGGGGGGGGGGGGGGGGGGGGGGGGGGGGGGGGGGGGGGGGGGGGGGGGGGGGGGGGGGGGGGGGGGGGGGGGGGGGGGGGGGGGGGGGGGGGGGGGGGGGGGGGGGGGGGGGGGGGGGGGGGGGGGGGGGGGGGGGGGGGGGGGGGGGGGGGGGGGGGGGGGGGGGGGGGGGGGGGGGGGGGGGGGGGGGGGGGGGGGGGGGGGGGGGGGGGGGGGGGGGGGGGGGGGGGGGGGGGGGGGGGGGGGGGGGGGGGGGGGGGGGGGGGGGGGGGGGGGGGGGGGGGGGGGGGGGGGGGGGGGGGGGGGGGGGGGGGGGGGGGGGGGGGGGGGGGGGGGGGGGGGGGGGGGGGGGGGGGGGGGGGGGGGGGGGGGGGGGGGGGGGGGGGGGGGGGGGGGGGGGGGGGGGGGGGGGGGGGGGGGGGGGGGGGGGGGGGGGGGGGGGGGGGGGGGGGGGGGGGGGGGGGGGGGGGGGGGGGGGGGGGGGGGGGGGGGGGGGGGGGGGGGGGGGGGGGGGGGGGGGGGGGGGGGGGGGGGGGGGGGGGGGGGGGGGGGGGGGGGGGGGGGGGGGGGGGGGGGGGGGGGGGGGGGGGGGGGGGGGGGGGGGGGGGGGGGGGGGGGGGGGGGGGGGGGGGGGGGGGGGGGGGGGGGGGGGGGGGGGGGGGGGGGGGGGGGGGGGGGGGGGGGGGGGGGGGGGGGGGGGGGGGGGGGGGGGGGGGGGGGGGGGGGGGGGGGGGGGGGGGGGGGGGGGGGGGGGGGGGGGGGGGGGGGGGGGGGGGGGGGGGGGGGGGGGGGGGGGGGGGGGGGGGGGGGGGGGGGGGGGGGGGGGGGGGGGGGGGGGGGGGGGGGGGGGGGGGGGGGGGGGGGGGGGGGGGGGGGGGGGGGGGGGGGGGGGGGGGGGGGGGGGGGGGGGGGGGGGGGGGGGGGGGGGGGGGGGGGGGGGGGGGGGGGGGGGGGGGGGGGGGGGGGGGGGGGGGGGGGGGGGGGGGGGGGGGGGGGGGGGGGGGGGGGGGGGGGGGGGGGGGGGGGGGGGGGGGGGGGGGGGGGGGGGGGGGGGGGGGGGGGGGGGGGGGGGGGGGGGGGGGGGGGGGGGGGGGGGGGGGGGGGGGGGGGGGGGGGGGGGGGGGGGGGGGGGGGGGGGGGGGGGGGGGGGGGGGGGGGGGGGGGGGGGGGGGGGGGGGGGGGGGGGGGGGGGGGGGGGGGGGGGGGGGGGGGGGGGGGGGGGGGGGGGGGGGGGGGGGGGGGGGGGGGGGGGGGGGGGGGGGGGGGGGGGGGGGGGGGGGGGGGGGGGGGGGGGGGGGGGGGGGGGGGGGGGGGGGGGGGGGGGGGGGGGGGGGGGGGGGGGGGGGGGGGGGGGGGGGGGGGGGGGGGGGGGGGGGGGGGGGGGGGGGGGGGGGGGGGGGGGGGGGGGGGGGGGGGGGGGGGGGGGGGGGGGGGGGGGGGGGGGGGGGGGGGGGGGGGGGGGGGGGGGGGGGGGGGGGGGGGGGGGGGGGGGGGGGGGGGGGGGGGGGGGGGGGGGGGGGGGGGGGGGGGGGGGGGGGGGGGGGGGGGGGGGGGGGGGGGGGGGGGGGGGGGGGGGGGGGGGGGGGGGGGGGGGGGGGGGGGGGGGGGGGGGGGGGGGGGGGGGGGGGGGGGGGGGGGGGGGGGGGGGGGGGGGGGGGGGGGGGGGGGGGGGGGGGGGGGGGGGGGGGGGGGGGGGGGGGGGGGGGGGGGGGGGGGGGGGGGGGGGGGGGGGGGGGGGGGGGGGGGGGGGGGGGGGGGGGGGGGGGGGGGGGGGGGGGGGGGGGGGGGGGGGGGGGGGGGGGGGGGGGGGGGGGGGGGGGGGGGGGGGGGGGGGGGGGGGGGGGGGGGGGGGGGGGGGGGGGGGGGGGGGGGGGGGGGGGGGGGGGGGGGGGGGGGGGGGGGGGGGGGGGGGGGGGGGGGGGGGGGGGGGGGGGGGGGGGGGGGGGGGGGGGGGGGGGGGGGGGGGGGGGGGGGGGGGGGGGGGGGGGGGGGGGGGGGGGGGGGGGGGGGGGGGGGGGGGGGGGGGGGGGGGGGGGGGGGGGGGGGGGGGGGGGGGGGGGGGGGGGGGGGGGGGGGGGGGGGGGGGGGGGGGGGGGGGGGGGGGGGGGGGGGGGGGGGGGGGGGGGGGGGGGGGGGGGGGGGGGGGGGGGGGGGGGGGGGGGGGGGGGGGGGGGGGGGGGGGGGGGGGGGGGGGGGGGGGGGGGGGGGGGGGGGGGGGGGGGGGGGGGGGGGGGGGGGGGGGGGGGGGGGGGGGGGGGGGGGGGGGGGGGGGGGGGGGGGGGGGGGGGGGGGGGGGGGGGGGGGGGGGGGGGGGGGGGGGGGGGGGGGGGGGGGGGGGGGGGGGGGGGGGGGGGGGGGGGGGGGGGGGGGGGGGGGGGGGGGGGGGGGGGGGGGGGGGGGGGGGGGGGGGGGGGGGGGGGGGGGGGGGGGGGGGGGGGGGGGGGGGGGGGGGGGGGGGGGGGGGGGGGGGGGGGGGGGGGGGGGGGGGGGGGGGGGGGGGGGGGGGGGGGGGGGGGGGGGGGGGGGGGGGGGGGGGGGGGGGGGGGGGGGGGGGGGGGGGGGGGGGGGGGGGGGGGGGGGGGGGGGGGGGGGGGGGGGGGGGGGGGGGGGGGGGGGGGGGGGGGGGGGGGGGGGGGGGGGGGGGGGGGGGGGGGGGGGGGGGGGGGGGGGGGGGGGGGGGGGGGGGGGGGGGGGGGGGGGGGGGGGGGGGGGGGGGGGGGGGGGGGGGGGGGGGGGGGGGGGGGGGGGGGGGGGGGGGGGGGGGGGGGGGGGGGGGGGGGGGGGGGGGGGGGGGGGGGGGGGGGGGGGGGGGGGGGGGGGGGGGGGGGGGGGGGGGGGGGGGGGGGGGGGGGGGGGGGGGGGGGGGGGGGGGGGGGGGGGGGGGGGGGGGGGGGGGGGGGGGGGGGGGGGGGGGGGGGGGGGGGGGGGGGGGGGGGGGGGGGGGGGGGGGGGGGGGGGGGGGGGGGGGGGGGGGGGGGGGGGGGGGGGGGGGGGGGGGGGGGGGGGGGGGGGGGGGGGGGGGGGGGGGGGGGGGGGGGGGGGGGGGGGGGGGGGGGGGGGGGGGGGGGGGGGGGGGGGGGGGGGGGGGGGGGGGGGGGGGGGGGGGGGGGGGGGGGGGGGGGGGGGGGGGGGGGGGGGGGGGGGGGGGGGGGGGGGGGGGGGGGGGGGGGGGGGGGGGGGGGGGGGGGGGGGGGGGGGGGGGGGGGGGGGGGGGTGGGGGGGGGGGGGGGGGGGGGGGGGGGGGGGGGGGGGGGGGGGGGGGGGGGGGGGGGGGGGGGGGGGGGGGGGGGGGGGGGGGGGGGGGGGGGGGGGGGGGGGGGGGGGGGGGGGGGGGGGGTGGGGGGGGGGGGGGGGGGGGGGGGGGGGGGGGGGGGGGGGGGGGGGGGGGGGGGGGGGGGGGGGGGGGGGGGTGGGGGGGGGGGGGGGGGGTGGGGGGGGGGTGGGGGGGGGGGGGGGGGGGGGGGGGGGGGGGGATATGGTTTTGGGAGGTGGTGTTTGATTTTTGTGGGGGGTGGGTTGGTTTAATGGTGGGGGGAGATTGTATTTGGGGGGGGGGTTTTTGTGTATTTGGTGGGGTTGGGGGGGGGGGGGGTTAGGGGGGGGTTGGGGGTTTGTGGTTGTTATGGTTGTTGGTGTTTGGGGGGGTTGATGTTTGGGGGTGGGTTTGGTGGTTGTGTGGTGGTGGATGGGGTGTGGTGGGTTGGTGGGGGTGTGGGTTTTGTGGATTTGATTGATAGTGTGTGAGTGGTTTTGGGTGGGGGGTGTGGTTTGTTGTGTGGGTGTTTTGGTGGTTGTTTTTTTTGGTGTTGGGTGGGGTTGTGTGTTGGTGATGGTTTTTTTTTTTTGGGGTGGTTTGTTTTGTTGGTGTGTTGTTGGGGTTTTGGTTTGTGTGGGTTGGGGGGTGGTTGTTGGTGTTTGTGTGGTGGGGTTTGGTGTTGGTGGGGGGTGGTTTGTTGTGGTGGTTTTGTTGGGGTTTTGGGGTGTTTTTTGTTTTTTGTTGTGTGTTGGTTTTGTTGTTGTTTTTGGGGGGTTGGGTGTGGTTTGTTTGGTTTTTTTTTTGTGGGGGGTTGTGGTGGTTTTTGTTTGGTGGGGGGTTGTATGGTGTGGGTGTGTGTGGTGGTTTGGTGTTTGTGTTGGGGTGTGGTGTTGTGGGGTGTTTTGGGTGTGTTGTGTTTATGTTTTGGGGGTTTTGGTTGTTGTTGGGTGGTGTAGGTTGGTGTGGTATTGGTGTTTTGGGGTTTGGTTATGTGGGTTTGTTGTTTTGTTTGTTGGGGGGTTGTGGTGTGGGTTTTTAGTGATTGTTGGAAGTTAGGGGGATATGAGGTGAGAGGATTTGTTTTTTTTTATATCTATCTCTACTATATATATATATATATATATGTGGGGTAGGGTTTGGTGGGATGTGGTGGTGGATAGTGGGGTGGGGGTTATTGTTGTTTTGTTTTTGTTGTTTTGGGTAGTTAGGGAGTTGTGTTTGTTATTGAAGGGATTTTTGGTTATGGTTTATGATTGATTTTTTTTGGGATTTAGGGTTTGTTGTGGTTGTTTTTGTGTGGTTGTTTGTTGATGTTAATTTTGTAATAGAGGAGGGTAGAGTAATAGTAGCAGGTTTAATTGTTATGGGGTTGTGGGGAGGGGGATTTAGTTTGGATATTTTGTATTTTAATTTTGGGGGTGGGATTGTTGATTTTGGGTGGGGGGGGGGATATGGTGTTTTTTTTAGAGGATAAGGGTGTTGGGAGTTTTTTGTTGGTGGTGTAGGGTTTTGGGTTGTTGTTTTGGGGGGGGTGTTTATTGTTGGGTTTGAGGGTTTGGGGGGTTGTGGGGTTTTTTTGGGTGGTTGTGTGGGGGGGGTTTATGTTGTTTTTTTGTGTTGGTGTGTTATTATTGGTTTTGGGTTTAATTAATTGGGGATAATGTTTGGGGTTGGGGTTGTTGGGTATTTTAATGTGGTAAGGGGATTTGATTGGTGTGGGGTGGGGGGGGTGAAGTGGAAGGAGGTTTGTTTGGTGTTAGTGGGGGGGTTAATGGGTTTGAGTGGAGGTGGATGAGGATAATGTTGGGGATTAAGTGGTAGGGTGTAGTGGTTAAGAGATATGGTGTTGGGAATTTTTGATTAAAGTTTGGGGAGGTTTTTTTAGGAGAATTTTTGTGTGGGGTTTGAGGGAAGGGGGTGGGTGAAAATAGATGAGAGAATTGGGAGGAGGGGTTTGAGGGGGGGAGTTGTGTGTGGTTGGGGTGGGGGTTGGGTGTTTTTAAGGGTTTGGAATATTGTAGGGGTTTTGGTTTAGGTAGGTTATATATTGTGGGTGAGGGTTTGTTGGGTAGGGGTTTTGTGTTGTATTGGTGGTGTTAGGGGGGAGGATGTGGTTTGTGTGGTGTTTGTGGATTAGTGTGATTGATGATATAAGGGTAGTGGTATTTAGTATTGGGAAAAATGATTTGTTGGATTGGGTGGTTAAAGATATTTTTTGGGTAATAAGTTGGTTTGGTGGAGGGTTGATTGGATGTTAGTTTGATAGTTGGGGGGGGGGTGTTTATTTTTTAAGTTTGTGTTATATATTTTGTTAGGATTTAGTTTTTATTGTGTGTGATTATTTGTATTTTTGTTTTTTGTGTGAGTGGGGTGGGTTTGTTTGGGGGGGGGGGTTTGTAGTTTTGGTGGTGGTTTGTTGGGTGTTGGGTTGGTATGTGATAGGGGTGTGGGGGGTGGTGTTTTGGTGGGGGTTGGGGTGGTGTGTGGTTGTGGGTTGGTTGGGGGGGGGTGGGGGGGGTGTGGGGGGGTGGGGTGGTGGGTTGTTGTATATATATATATCTATGGATTATTGTTAGGGGTGGGTTTTGAATTTGGGGTGGGTGATTGTATATGTTGGGGATAATGGGTTTTGATTTGGGTTTGTGTGGTTGGGTTTGTGTTAAGTTTTAGTTTTGTTGATTTATGTGTTTTTTGTGGATTTATTTTTTTTTTGTGGTGTTTTGATGTTGTTGGTTTTTGGGTGGGGATTGGGGGTTTTTAAGTTGTAAATGGTGGGATTTGATTAGGGTAAAGTATGTTTTTGTTATTGAAGTTGGAGTTGGGTATTGTTAATTATTTGTATGGGTTATATTAGTTTGTGATGGGGTTTTTGGAGGTTTGTTTGTTTTTTGTTTTAAATGGTGTTTGGATTGAGGGTGGAATGGGGAGTATTGGTTTAGTTTTTTTTGTGATGGATATGGTTGGGGTTGTGGTTTGTGATAGGGGGGGGAGTAGAGTGTTTTTTTTTTTTGAGAGGGTTGATTTGGTGAGTTTTTAGTTATTTTAGAAATTTAATGATAATTGATGATAGAAGTATTTGTGTATATTAAGTTTTTAGGGGAAGTTTGTGTTTTTTGTGGGATATTGGAGTTTTTTTGGGGGTGTGATTTTTTATGTTTTGAGAGTGGTTGTTTGATTAGGGGAAAGGGTATATAGGGGAAAGGTGGGTTAGAAATTTGGTGGTTTTGAGTGGTGTTTTTGTTTTTATTTTTGGGTTTTTAGTTTGTTTTTTGAGTAGTGAGTGTGAGAGAGAGTGAGTGAGTAGGAGAGAGTGAAGAGAGAGTTTTTGGGGGGTGTGGGTTTGTTGGTTTTTGAGTTTTGTGGTTTTTTTTTTGTTGTGTTTGGGTTTGGTTGGGGTTTTTTTTTGGTTTTTGGTTGTATTGGGTTTTTTTTGGTTGTGGGTGTTGGGGGGGGGTAGTTTGTTTTTTTGGTGGTGAGTGTAAGGTTTTTGTGGTTTTTTGTGTGTGTGTGGTGGATGGGTGGATGTAGTGGTGTGAGATGAGTGTTGTTTTGAGGTGTGTAGTGGGTTTGGAGAGTGTGAAGCTAGAGCGAGAGTGCGAGAGAGTATTGGAGGATGTGATGAAAGTGTGTTTAGGGGGGTTGTTGGTTTAGAGTTGAGTTAGTGAAGTTTGATGGTGTGAGAGATTAATTAGGGTGTAAGTGTGGATATATGGGGTGGGTTGTGAGGGTTTTATTTAATTTTGAAGGGTGGTGAGGGTAAGTGGGTGTTAGGTTTTTTTGTGTTGTATGATGAATAAATGTTATGGTGGTTAGATGGTAATTTGAGTGGGTTTGGTGTTATTTTGAGAATTTGTTGGGGTTTATGGATTGAGGGGATGGGAGATGGTTTTAAGAAATGGGAGGGGTGATTGAAGAGTAGTGGAGATTGATGTGAGGGAGGGTTAGAAAGGTGGGAGTTATTGAATGTTGGGATAGGATATGGTTAATGATATTGGGGTGTATGAGGTAGGTTGTTGGTTTTGTTTTTGTAATGAGTTTTGGGTGAATTTTTGTATTGTTTGTAGTTGTTTGTTTGGTAGGTTTTTTGGGTGTGTATGTGGTAATGAATGTATTTTTTTTTTTTTTTATTGTTGTGGGGTAGGGTGAAATGGAGAGTTTTTGGAGATATGGTTTGATTAATTTGTGGGGGATGTTGTTTTTTTGGGATGTGGTGTGTGGATTTTTTGGGGTGGAGATTGGTGGGTAGTTGAGATGGGGTTTTTTTATTATTTATGGTTTTATTTAGGGAAGTTTGTATGATATTGTTGATTAGATTGTTAGTTGATGTGGTATATGGGGTTTGGGGTTGTATTTTTTAATGTTTAATTTTGGGGGGGAGTGTATTATTAATTGAAAAATGTTTTGGTAGTTTGTTTTTTTTTGATTTGAGATGTATTGTGATTGGTTTGGAGGAGTGTTAATTAGTTTGGAGGTGGTATTGGATTGGTTTTAGTTTGGAATGTGTGGGGTGTGGGGAGGATTGTATGGTTAAATTGGGGTTGGTGTTGTGGGTATGTTGGGGTTTGTTGTTTTGGGTTTTTGTTTGGTAGAGGTGGTTTTTTGGGGGGTGGGGGTGATGGGGAATGGTATGTTAATGGTGGTGTGTATGTTTTGGTGGTTTGTGTATGGTTGTATGAGGTAGGATTAGGTTTGGTTGGGGGATTTTTGTTTGAATTTTTTTTTGAAGGTGATTGATTTAGATATAGATAGTTTGGTTTTTGTAGGGAGGAGTTTGATGTGGGGTTGGGAGATTGATTGATTGATTGTGGGGTTTGATTGTGGTGGGGTGTTTAAGGATGTATTTTTGGTTATATTTGGGGAGGGTTATGGTGGGTTTTATGAATTATGATATAAAGTTTAAAAAAGAAAATATTAAAAAATTTAATATGTTTTGGTGTGTTTATTAATATGAGTTTATATATATATATATTATAAATATGATTGTTTTGATGTGATGTTTTGTTTTTATGTTTTTTGAGTGATTGGTTAAGGAAGGTTTTAAATGAATTATCTCTATAGATAATTGATTTTGAAGAGGATAATATTTAGTAGATTAAATTTTTTAAAATTAAATAATAAATTAGATTAAAATGTTAAATTTTGTTGTATTATAATAAGTGAATTTTAATGTAAAAATGATTTATTAAAATAGAGATGATTTAGAAGCATTTTATAGTTATATTTATATTGTAGTGTTATTGTTTTGTTAATGTTTGGTATTTTTTTTTTT